CCAATTTCGGGTTGAGGGTTTCCTATGGAGGTGGCAGAACTTCATCCGTGAGCTGACCCTGGAGCCACACCGGCAAGTGTGGGTCCATTGCAACGTTGGCAGGGTCCGCGGTCCTGCTTTGACGATCGCCGTGGCACTTTTGCAGAATCACGACCTGTGGGCAGACGATCTGGCTGCTCGCCCACTGAAGTGTGAGTTGTTGTTTACTTTTTTTTTTCGTTTAGTTGCAGAATTTCTTGGCTAGGAAACCCCACGCAGTTATAATCTCAAGCCTTGGACTCAGATCCGAGAGATGCGCCAGAAGCGGCCGGTCATCGACCTGCACGGGCTGCAGCTTGCCCATTTTGTAGTTGAACCTCAAAACTTTTTGTGCTTCCTCGTTCTGCAGAATTATATACATAAAGACAGCTTATGTAACCTTAAACACAATTGTGTTCATGGAGAACTGAGGCGCGGCTTCATGAAGACTTTTAGGTGGATTGAGCGCAACCGCTGGTGGCTCTACACTTCCGCGAGGCGATCTCAACGAGACGACTGGACTCAGTGATGGCTATTCCTTACAGCTCCCTGCTGGTCCCAAGGCCACCAAGATTCGGCGGAAGCTTTGACCATTGCTTGGAAAGGGATCAGTTTCTCAGGGGTCTAAAGACCTTCACGTTCGGCTGTGATGTCGACCGGAGCCTGGCAGGGGTGCAGCTTCCCAGCTACCAAACCTTGACCTTCGGCGAGCATTTTAACCAGTGCTTGCGAGGGGTGCATCTTCCCAGCGGGCTAAAGACCTTGACCAGAGCTTGGAAGGGGTACGTCAACAAAAGGTCCTGCCAAGCCCAGAGACAGATTCAAGACTTCCACCCTCAACCCCAAGCCCTAAGCCCTAAACCCTAGGCCCTAAGCCCTAAGCCCTAAGCCCCAAGCCCTAAGCCCTAAGCCCTAAGCCCTAAGCTCTAAACCGTAAGCGTTAGACATTTCTCAGGGGTCTAAAGACCTTCACGTTCGGCTGTGATGTCGACCGGAGCCCGGCAGGGGTGCAGCTTCCCAGCTACAAAGCCTTGACCTTCGGCGAGCATTTTAACCAGAGCTTGCGAGGGATGCAGCTTCCGAGCGGGCGAAAGACCTTGACCAGAGCTTGGAAGGGGTACGTCAACAAAAGGTCCTGCCAAGCCAGATTCAAGACTTCAGAACCACCCTGAACCCTAAGCCCTAAACCCGAAGCCCTCAGCCCTCAACCCTAAGCCCCTAAGCCCCTAAGCCTTAAGCCCTAAGCTCGAAACCGTAAGCGCTAGACTCTAGACCCTAAACCATAAGCCTCAGATCCTCGACCCTAGACCCTAAACTTTCAAAGAAAAGAAGGGTGCTGCCGGGCATCCTTCCGGGGCCCGGGGTGTGTGGAGCTTGAGTCTTGGGCATTTTGCGGGAGGGGGTTTAGGGTTTAGGGTTTAGAGTTGAGGGTTTAGGGTTGTAGGATTTAGGGTTTAGGGTTTATGTAAGAAGTTCTGAGGGTTTGGTTGCTTTGAGGGCTTTGATGCGTACCAGGAGTTGCGGGCTTGGGACTATTCAGGAGGGTCGAAACCCTAGCCGGCATGAACCACGCAAGCCCGGAAGAACCCTAAACCCTAAACCCTAATGTGTGCATGGTGTTTAGCTGGGGTTGTTTGATCAGGCGCTAGAGAGCATAGCCCCCTTCTCGGCATGTAAGCTCTAGCACACTTTTAATTGTAAATCTTTTTTTTGCGTGCAGCCCTCAGTCCGTCAAATAAGACGTAAAGGTCCAACCCACATATATATATATATATCACTCTCTCTCTATATTCCATATCTATATATACACACTCATCTGTACTTCTATTTATTTGTTGTTTTACTAGGTTATACTCATTCATAAACTTTGCCTTCTTTTGAGTAGTATCTGTCCGTTCTGAGACATAGGCCGAGACATAGGTATACACATAAGCCGAGACACGGCCATAGACACAGGCAGAAAGTCTGTTCCATACTTGTGCTGAAAGGATTTGGGATTTAGGTTTTAGGGCTTATCTCAACCCAACAAACCCACGGGCCCCAGGGGGCGACCATATACATATGTATAAATAAATATATATATATATATATATATATGTATAGATTAATTATTCAGATTATGTAAACTATGTTCAGATACTATTCAAATATATAAGCATAGCAACGAGAGAAAGCATGCCCACTCTAACCCTGCACGCCGAAGGCCTTGACTTCGGGTACGTCTTAGCAGTAACTCCAAGCTCTACCACCCTTGGACCCTCACAACCTGACTCTTTAGGGTTTAGGGTTTAGGGTTTAGGGTTTAGGGTTTAGGGTTCATCCTAAACCCCTAACCCTGCCAGCAACGAGACATCAAAGATTCGCCGTCCTCCCACGCTCTGCTCCGTAATTCGGCGGTCCCCTGCACGAGAACGCGACGATCAAGGGCTCTTGGTATAGGGGGCAGGGCAGATTCTGAACCCGAAGCCCTGAACCCTGAACCCTGAACCCTAAACCCGAAACCCTGAACAGGAACCTTAAAGTGTGTTGGGGTCTTTATGGCCTTGCAGTGTTTCAAAAGTGTTGAGGGCTTAGTTTGTAGGGTGGCGGGGGCCGCCGCTAAGACCTGCAATGAGTGGGGTGACCTGCAAAAAAGAAGCAGCCGCTGCACTGCTGTGCCTTACAGGAGAGCCTTCGGTAAACCCTAAACCCTAAACCCTAAACCCTAAACCCTAAACCCTAAACCCTAGACCCTAACCCCTAAACCCTGAACCCTAAACCCTAAACCCCTCAACCCTCAACCCTCAACCCTCAACCCTCAACCCTCAACCCTAAACCCTAAACCCTAAACCCCTCAACCCTCAACCCTCAACCCTCAGCCCTAAACCCTAAACCCTAAACCCTAAACCCTAAACCCTAAACCCATGCCCTAAACCCTAAACCCTAAACCCTAAACCCTAAACCCTAAACCCTAAACCCTAAACCCTAAACCCTAAACTCTAGACCCTAACCCCTAAACCCTGAACCCTAAACCCTAAACCCCTCAACCCTCAACCCTAAACCCTAAACCCCTCAACCCTCAACCCTCAACCCTCAACCCTCAACCCTCAACCCAAAACCCAAAACCCAAAACCCTAAACCCTAAACCCTAAAAGCTCGGATGGAAGCCGGAAGTCCGAAGCCCCGAAGCCCAATAAAGGGTTTTGGGGGTTTAGGTCCATGTTCGAGGGCTTCAGGGTTTAGGGTTTAGGGTTTAGGGTTTAGGGTTTAGGGTGCAAGCCTCCGAAGCCCTCCCCAAAGCCTGCGACCTTAGGGGGTTCGGGGTTTCGGGTTTCGCCCCATTTCGCCCGAAGCCCCTCAAAAGCAGGCACGGGATGTGAGGTCTAGTAGAAGACGTGTTGCAGAGGTTGCGATGTGCTCTAGACCCGCGATACTTTTTGACAGTGCAGTGGGCCCCTAACACTTCTCCCATTGAAACCCTTTGGAAGTCCAAAGAAATGAAGCCCTGAGTCCAAAACCTCAAGCGCTTAGAGGCCTACAGCCCTAAGCCCTAAAGTCCTACACTGTAAAGCCCGCATGCCGGCAGAGGCAAGAGGTGGGGTTTTGTACTGCCCTGAACTTTTCTGACCCGTAGGGTTTAGGGATAACCCTATCCCTACACCCTGAAGCCCAACACTCTTCAACCTTGAAGACCCGCCCCCCAACCTTGCTCAAAGAGAACATCCCAAAACGGGCAACACAGGCACATAAGTTTGGGGTTCGGACCGTAAGACCCAAAAGCACCCACTCCAACCCTTACATCCTCAAGCCCATAAGCCGCCCCAAAACATACGGGGGATCAGTCGCATACTTAGGCGGCCACAGCACCGCCGGCGACTGGCCGGGTGTTGCTTTCAAACGTCGGGTCCCAAGCACGACTGAGAGGCTGGGCTTTCTTGTCAGGATTTCTAAGCCCCTCTCCCCCAAACCCTACACCCTAAACCCGAAGAGACCTGTGGTGACACACGCGCTACCGTTTTAGAGCCGTGAAATGGCCGAACCATGAAAGCCCCGTTCGCTTGCTTGCAGTCCCGTTCGGGGCGGAGCTTTCGTCCTCCACCCCCTTCTGGGCCCTAAACCCACAACCAAACCTCCTCAGGAGTTTGAGGTCAAAGCCCAAAGCCCCAGAAACCATAACAGCCTCAAGACTGCCAGGCCCTTCAAACATGCAAAACCCCAAAATCCCAACCCCCAACATCCCAAACGCCTAAGCCCTGAGCCCTGAGCCCTAAGCCCTAAACCCTAACCCTCTACCCCTATATATATCCCACTTCCGTAGCTCCCTGAGGCCTAAACCCTAGGTCCTACTTGTTGAGTTCCCTTCGGGCCCTGGGCTTTTTTGGGCTTTCGGTGAGGTGAAGCCCCTTGGCAGATCGAGGCTCGCCAGTGCCAAGGCTCGGGGACCGCTTGAAAGAGGTTTAGGGTTTAGGGTTTAGGGTGTAGGGTTAGGGTTTAGGGTTTAGGGTTTGGGGTTTGGGGTTTAGGGTTTAGGGTCTAGGGCTTAGGGTGCAGGGTTTCGTGTCGGATGTAGGGTCTAGGGTTTGGTAACCCTGAGCCCCAAAATTCTAGGGTTTAGGGGGGTTTGGGCTTTAGGGGCTATGGCCCTAGGGATTCTACGGGCGCTTTTGGGTTTTGGTGATCTAAATCCTGTGACCCTTTTGTTGCGGGCTATATAGTAGCGTGTTTCTCGTAGTTGGGTTGCCCACTTGGAGGCGTTCAAGAGGTTCAGGGCTTCTTTGTCATATGCATATATATATATATATATATATATTATATTATAGTATATTATAAAATATTATGTTATGTTGCATTATATTATATTATATTATATCATATACGTATATACATTTCGTGTTTTCATTATCACATTTAGGGCCTCCGGGCTACATCCGCAGGAATGAGCTCAAGTCTTACGAGCCACAGCTCCCGACCCAACGAAGTTTGCAGGTGCGCCATCGCCCGCCATGGTGCCTCGAGTCCTTGTGCTGCTTTTTGCGGGTCTGTTGACAACAGGTGCGGGCATCGTGATGCGCGAGCATGCCACCAGCAACCACACGGATCGAGGACCCACCGACCTCCCTGCATGCCTCGGCAAAGTTCTACAGGACAAATCTGGCGACAAGTGGCGTTGCGACAATTTCCACGGGCACGCAGGCGAAGAAAAGCAGTGTGAAGAACGCTATGAATCAGATAGTGACAGATTTTGGCAGTGCAAGGCCTTTCCCAGATCCCGATCCAGCAGCAGCAGCTTCAATTGCCTGACCCACACCCCGTGCGACCCAACCAAAGAGATCCCAGTGGTGGCACAGGACCCGGCGGCGAGCTCAGAGATTAGGGTTTAGGGTTTAGGGTTTAGATGGGTTTAGGGTTTTAGGGTTTTAGGGTTCAGGGTTCAGGGTTTACGGTTTGACCACAACCCTTTGCTCTGTGGTATTTGTGAGTCTCTTCCACAGTCAGCGTTTGTAGAGGTGCAATAAAAACACCAATCTCCTCTCATTTCGTTTCCCCGTCGCCACATGTCCCCCTAGGAAGTAGAAAGAAGAGGCCCGCACCTTAACAGTGACCGGAGCTCGGAAGAATTTGTTAAGCGAATTCCGTTGAAGGCTAGGTCTTGCATCTGGGAATCTTTTTGAAACACTCCCACGGACTCTAGCACTTGGATACACTTGGGAAGACCTGCAGGAAACCAGACATGCAAGCCCCACCCTCATCACCCTCATCCTTCCCCATCACCATCGTCTGAAACTTGCAAATGCGGACCCTGGGAGGAGAATCTTGTGGCCCGCTGGCCCTTAAAGAACGGTGACTTGAAGGACTGGGGTGCTTCGTCAATCCAAGATGTTGGGTTTCAGGCTCAGGGATGTCGAAGCTGTCCACCCTTGCCCCAGCCTCATTGGAACCCTAAACCCTAAACCCAAAACCCCTAAACCCCTAAACCCCTAAACCCTAAACCCTAAACCCTAAACCCTAAGCCCTAAACCCTAAACCCTAAACCCTGAACCCTAAACCCTAAACCCTAAACCCTAAAACCTAAACCCTGAACCCTAAACCCTAAACCCTAAACCCTAAACCCCTAAACCCTAAACCCTAAACCCCTAAACCCCTAAACCCTAAACCCTAAACCCTAAACCCTAAACCCTAAACCCCTAAACCCCTAAACCCCTAAACTCCTCAACCTCGTTTGTTTTTGGGCCCAACTTCAGCTTTGAGCCTGAAGCGTAAGCATGAGGTAGTGAAGGCTTCTCGGGAGCTTCAGGATGCCACCCTGGGCTTTGTTTCAGACAGGGTTTAGGGTTTAGGGTTTAGGGTTTAGGGTTTAGGGTTAGGGTTTAGGGTTTAGGGTTTAGGGTTTAGGGCTTAGGGCTTAGGGAGGCGCGTCTCAGCGGCTCCACAGGGAGAGCGCACCAGAGATGTTGTTTGGCTTTTTGCTTTGCAGATGCATCTGTCAGCTACTTTCAGTTGAAAGGTTCACATAGTCTATTTGTGATGTAGGATCGAGCGGCTTGGATGACAGTGTGGCACCTACGGTCTTTGAGACTAGATGAATCCCCCCAAGGACATGTTTCCTATGCTGATTCAAGCCGACCGAAGAGTGCACAACTTGGACCCATGAGAAATCGAACTGCCACGAAGCCCAAGATCGGGGTCTAGGTTTCAGGGCTCTTGGCAGGAGTCATTTTTTTCATGTTTCGGGCCCCTAGAGCTTTGTGGCCCATGGTTTGTTTCCTGGTGCGGAGGAGATCAATGGCAAGTGCACCCTCACGAAGCAAAGCGCCGTCACGTGGGTGGCCGACAAGGATGGCGATGCAAATAGCGCACTCTCGTTTCCGATGGGCTCCAACAGCTGCGCCTACTGCCACACTTCGAAGCATCGTAAGCAAGATTTTTCCCCAAACAGTGCTTGCACACTGGGGTTCTTACGTTCAGAGTAAAGGAATTGGTTGCTGACCGCAACGGCGCGCGCGGCGGTGGGACGGGGCCTTGCTTTCGACGCTCCCGCTGTGGTTTCGCGCGAATTCCGTTGCATTTCGATGCTGCTTAGGGTCAACCCTGGGGCTGGGTGCCGGGGGTTAGTGTTATGGGGTAGCGATGTTGGGGTTGAGCATCATGAGCATCAGCTGGGTCTTCTGGCCCCCAAGTTCCACACGCGTGCAAAGCCGAATCCCCCAGTGGTTGGCGTCTTTTTGACCCCCAAGGGAATTCGGCCCCCCACGAACTTTTGTACTTTTTGTCCCCGGGAGTGTCGGTGCTCTTCTGGCCTTCTTTGGCCTTTTCTGGCCCTCCTCACTGTTTGGGGTCTACGCCGGCATAATTTTGTAAAATAAGCTGGGGCCCCTTAGCGTAGTCTGTAGTTCAGTATTGTGTAGTGTGTGAGACTACGCGAGGCGGATGATGGAAGTACTTGATGTGCATTCGCTTTCGTGCCTACTAGGTAGTTCTTTTGTATATGGTGGGGCTCTGTGTCGTCTAGAGTAGAGGACTTAGGTGATTCGGTGGCCGGCTTGCCTAGTGGCTCGGAGCCCCGGACCATGATGATGTGGATCTACGTCGACTCGACCACACGGAACAACATCGGGGTGGGTGGATATGGAATCAACAGTCGTGGAAAGAGCTTCGCCATGGCGCTGCGAGGGAGCACGCAGTGGACCTTTGAAGGGTGGGGCCCCACGCCATCAAGTAGTGAGAGGGCGACCTTTGACAAGTGGATGCACCTGACGTACACCTACGACGGTAGCAAGGGCAAGTTCTTCCTCGACGGAGAGTACAAGGCGCAGGTCAGTGTTGGATCCCTGAAGACACCCACCTCGCCGAGAGTTGTCTTGGGATGCGAGGTTGACATTAACGAAGGCGTTAAGGGCAAGATGGCTGACATGAGGATCTACAACACTGTTCTGAGTGATGCAGACATTGCCAAGGCGGCAGCTGAATGAGCTGGTGATGGTCTATAGGGCTTGTCTGAGGACGAAATAGCTCGGTCTCACCCTCTACCGGCCGGATTCCCGTGAGGGTAGTAGAGAGGCAACCCTAAACCCTAAACCCTAAACCCTAAACCCTAAACCCTAAACCCTAAACCCTAAACCCTAAACCCTAAACCCTAAACCCTAAACCCTAAACCCTAAACCCTAAACCCTAAACCCTAAACCCTAAACCCTAAACCCTAAACCCTAAACCCTAAACCCTAAACCCTAACAACTGAAGCTAGGGGATGACGTGGCAAGCCCAGTTTCCAAGTCCTGCTACTGTTACCAAACCCTCTACATCCGAGGCCTCACCCTACATATCCGCATATAGCCCCCGTATATCCCTATATACCGCTACATACAGTACGTTCAACGTCGTCTTCCGTTTCACTCCAAAAAGAGGACCGGCAGCCCCAAACACTTAAAACCCCAAACCTTGAGTTCTAAGCCCTGAATCCCAAGATTTTGGGCCCCAAGCCGTGAATCCTAAACCCTAAACCGCAATCCTCAACCCCAAACCCTACTGTAAATCCTGGGTAAAAGCCCTAAATCCCTAAATCCTAAACCCTAAGCAAAACCCCAAGACCCCAAACCCCATGGGCTTTGGGGGATCGCTGAAGAATTTAGAAATCCAAGGGTAGTGTAGAAACACCTTGCGTGCTGTATCAACTAAGCCCATTTCATGACTCCATGCTGAAACCCCGAATCCTGATGCCCTAAATCCTACGCTCACGGTCCGCCACCAGTTACAGGGTGTGGCTTGTCTGTTACAGCCTCTTCGCTGAGAGCCCCTGTTCCAACATCCCTGCGGGAGTCGGAAAAATGTTTTCATTATGACATTAGGGTTTAGGGTTTAGGGTTTAGGGTCAGGAGCTTGAGTGTTTGGATGGGGTGCATTAGATTCTGGTAAGTTATATAGGGGTTATGAGGGGACAATACCACGAATTATGTAGGCTCCAATGGCACTCTGGAGAAGGGCTTGTCTAGAGCGATGTCATCATCTTCGGGTGAAAGAAGGAGGATTGCTCCAGTTAGCCAGATGAAGTTTCTACTTGGAATCTAGGTATCCGTGTGTGCAGGGTGTCTTTTTTTTGCAGCAACACGGGCCCCACCTCGTACAAGATCTCAGTCCCTGCTCTGCGTAACTGCAAAGTGAATGAAGTAGTCAATGCTGAAAGAGTAGCAGATTCCCCAATAGTCCTCTCGGACTTCAGGAGAGTGTGGGGAACCTCTCCTACTTTTTCAAGGTGTTTACCAAGCTTCTGTGGTGCGAGACGATGAGAGTATCTGACTATAGTGATGAGCCGAAACGTGCACTGCTGCTCAAGCTTCTGATGTGGTCCGTTGTCGAGGCCCTCCCTCACGTCTTGTCCTTGTTGAACTTTGGGTCCAACTCCTATTGGTTCGGTCTCTCCTGTCCGGCTCATTGTCAGGCCTCCTTTACCTTCAACCTCGCACTTTTCACTTCGGGGTTTGGGTTTGGTTGTGTGGCCACTTTCGCCTTCTTCTGGACTTTTGTGCTGGCTCCGGCCTCCCCGCGGCCTGCCACGGCCTCGCGTGCTACGCCACCTCCGCAACAGGTTCCTAGGCCAGGTGCACTGAGGTTGCGTGGGTACTTGCATGAGCCAAGGCCCTGATTTGGACCAGGCCATTACTGAGGTCCAGGAAGCCCTTGAACGGCTTCGCATTGCTACATCGCGTCTAGGTGATAATTGGGAGGTGGTTGAGGCAGTTCCATCGCAGGTACCCCTTGCTGCAGCTCCGGCTGCCCCTGCTTCGGCCGTTCAGGACGGCTTCATTTCGCAAACCTTGGCCAGCCCTTCACCAAGGACCCGTGCCTCCACTGCTGCCAGCTTTCCTAGTTGCCCTCAATACTGCATTGACTTGTGTCGTGCCTTGTCCGCGTCGAGCTTGTGCCCGGAAGGTCGAGCCCGACGCGCCTGGAGAGCAGGCTGCTGGGCCCGTGAGGTCCTCGAGGGACATTGGGCAACGCCGCTGTCGAGCGAAGCGCTCAACCTTAGGCCTTCGGTCTACGTGGTTCTTTGGCATCCTAACTTGCCTAACGGTGCTAGGTTTTCCAGCTTTTCCGCCTTGCGAGCGGTTGTCGGGGATATCTCTGCATCCCGCGCTGTCTTTCACTCATTCCCCTCGTTGGCAGAAGCAAAGGTGTATTGCTACGGAGCCCAGCGCCCCTTGCCCAGCCTTCGCTAACAATGCAGCTCTCCGACTTGCGGATGGAGCCCAACAGCCTAGGATTGTCTTGCATCTTGAGGTGGCCCTTGGGCTCAGCTTCGGAACCAGGGCGCCAGGTCTTGTGCCTTCCCGTGATGCAGAGGAGTGGCGGCTTTCTCGCTGCCGTCCCGGCGGCCCTTCTTGCATCGGCTCAGGAGAACGCTGCTGCAACTCTTCCTTCGGATGTGGTGGGACCTTTTGTCGTTCTGACGGTGCCTGGAATAGAAGACGAAGAAGCGGGCGAGGTACCAGCAGGTGTGGACGTGGATGTTCTGGTGGTGGACATGGACGAGGCAGTCCTAGCTTCTATGAGTCTTTACGATCCTGTGACCGATCTGGTTTTCGAAAGCTTCCTGCCCGACGCTCCTCACATCATGCCCCAGCCAGAGCTGCTGATAGCTGCCGCAAAGGCCTGGGTCGAAGAGGAGGCCTCAGACCGCCTTGCATTCTACTCTGCGCAGGAGGAGACCGCCGCGCCTCTAACTGCTTCGCCAAAAAGGCCGCCGCCCAAGAAAAGGATCACCATGAGCCAGTTGTCAGAACAGGTGGCCGCAATAGCTGCCGTCATTCCAAGCCTTGCAGACCAAATCAGGTTGGTTGCGGAAAAGCAAGCCGCGGCGACGGCGCTCCCAGTCAGTCCGGCTCCTCTGCCCCCTGCAGGGCTGCAGCAGGAGTTTCCGACTATCGCGGCGGCTCCCCCAGCGATGCCCCTGCAACAGATGGCAAAACAGCTTCCAGCTCCACGGCAAGTGCATGTTCAGGCGCAGGTACCTTTTGCCTCCCAGGCCCCCGCAGGATCTTCCTCAGACGGCTCCTCCCTCGCAAAAGCTGTTACTCAACAAGGGGAGGCTTTGGGTCAACTGGTGGCCCACCTTATTGCTCAGAGCGAGACCTTGGATCTCTCTGGCAATTCGACCAGCTTGTCTGCAAAGGGAACGGCCAAGAGGGAGAAGTTGCAGCAGGAGCTGGCAGCAGGCAGCTCCACTTTCTTCCTTCAGGTCGTTCAATCTGCACACCGCCGCCTCTATCCTGCGCTGCCCCTCCCGGCCTCTGTGGAGGAGGCACAGGCCTCGGGCCGAGTGTCTTTTGTGAGTTATCTGGAGAGGACAGGCGGCTACGACCGGTCTCGGGATCTAGGGCTCATGATGATGATGTTGGCCGGCATTGCAGATGCATTCCTAAGAGGGGACAACCATGCCGCCCGCGAGCACACGGCGTTGGCGTTGGCTGCTACCGAGCAAGCAGCCAGCGACGCGGGGCGCTGGGACCTGGCTTTCCTGTTGAGCTTGGGGGAGGACCCGTCGCCGAACGTGTTTGCTCCCAGGCCAGCGAGCGCTGCTGGCAGGATGAGAGCCTTCAGTCCGCTAGTGCCGGCCGGTCTCGGCGCCGTTACGCTGGCCTTTGTTCGCGAGATCGATCTACTTGCGCAGCGTCGCCGGGATGCGGCCAACCCCTCACGTGCCCTGCCAAGACAAGGCGAGTCCGAATCCCAGGCTGCTCCCAAAAGAAGGCCAAGATTCCCAAGGAAGCCCAAGGACCAGCAATAACTGACTTTTCTAACTTTGCGTCCTTTCGTCGTGATGGGCCCCTCGCACCTCCCTCGCGTATCACCCCTTGCCGCTCGGCTCACGAAGATGGGCCGGGATCATATAGGGGAAGACAACCAAGGTCTATTCACGATAAAGCTTCCCCCTGCAGAGGTGGACGCTCGAAAGAGGCGCGTGCGCCTCTCACAGCTCAGGCCCACTCGGATAATTCATGCAAGCCAGCAGGCTCTTCCGGCCCTAGCGGCCCTCCTGCCAATCCTTCGGCCGATCGCTCCGAACAGCATTTGTCCTTTCGAGCTTGGTCCCTGTGTGCCCATTTGAACTTTATTAACTCGCGCACGACCTTCGGCAAGTTTGTTAAGTGTTCTTTGCATCTTGGCCGGCGCGGGCCAGCGCCCCCGGCTTCGGTTCTCTTCCCTCTGCCTCTGCCTTATCCGGCCATCTTCCGATCCCGTCCGGGCTTGTCCTCTCGACGGAGGGCCACTATTGGCGTCAGGCGAGTCTTGCATATCTTGGTCATGGCACTCAACTTTGTGCACCAGGATTGTGCTTTCGTGCCTCTCAGGCTTTTGCAGTGCCAGCCTAACGGCCCCCAACGCCGATGTCTGGACTACCTCGAAGCATTTGTGAGAACCTACGGTAGTGGTCAGGAAGGTGTGGTGCCTTCCTCCACCGGCCGCCGAATGAATGTTGTGCATGCCCGGCTTTGCGAGCTCTCCGAGCTCCTCACCCGTTTGGGAGCCGTTGGGGACTCCTACCGCCACGTTCCGTCGGGCGAGGATGTTCCCCCTGACACCGCTGATGAGGCTCTCCATCCGTACAGGGCCTTGGATGTCGATCGCCTTCGCTTGGTCGGCACTGCTCAGTGGAATCCTGAGCCTTGGCTCACCGACGAGCTTTGGATGGCATATGCCGAACCGCAAAGCCTGCTGGTTTCAAGGACTCCTGCTGCGGAGGAGTTCGCAGACTGCTCTTTGGAGAACCCTGGCCAGACCCTCAAATTGGCTCATTTGTGGGATAGCCTGGGACTTCTGCTTCTTGTGCCAGCAGACTTGTCTTTGGACAGCTTCGAGTACACTCGAATTTTCAATGCACGCAAAAGCTCAGCGCTCGACCGCCAGATTGGAGACAGGAGAGGGAGGAACTCCGTGGAGGGGAGGATTCACGGCCCGTCAGGGTCCCTTCCTTGTG